ATATGGTATATGATACGTAGGGCATACAAAGTACGAGTTAATCGACTATTTATGTTATAGGTCAGGCTTCCAGTCAACAGTAGGCTCTGAGTAGTTAAGGTTCAGGGGGAGTCAAACGTTGAATGTGGATCTTTGACCAGCCGGGGGTCAGCACCCCTAATCCCCCTATTGTTCAAGGGTCAATTGTACCTCTTTTGACTATTCTAGCCATGTGCATGCATTATTACCCAATTCGAAACACTGTATTGTTAACTTTTTAAATCCTGCTGATGTGAAAAATACACACATATATTGTTCTAGAAACATATTTTACATCGTGCGGCCCATAATACGCATGTTCAATGGCCCGCATGTCCCCCTGCCCAGCAGCAGAGGCCTGGAATAGATGAGCTCTTGACTCACTCTGGTAACTCAAAAACTGAGGCAAGCACGCCCTTTGTCAAAACAACAGCTGTTTCTTGCACAACGCGTCGCACACTGGCCAGTCTCCGGGCTTATGAACGAGGAGGTGGCGGCCAGTTACAGAAAATGCCGCTCACCCAGGCCAGAGCTTTCCCAGGGAATGGCAGAGGAGGGCGTCCCCTCAAAACGATTTAGAAATATTCTCCCGCTGGAAACAGCCGACAGCCCCAAGTCCAAAGTCATGGGAAGTTGGCAGGGCTGGTGGCGAACCAGCGGGCTCTGAACACCCGGGCACTTTCAACTAGGCTGGAAGTGAAGTGGTGGAAATTGTCCTGGGTGAGTGTCTCACAAGGACAGGCACCTGGAGGCAGAAACTGCGGTTTTCTTTCAAAGTCATCGTGTGGCAGCCGATGCCAGGAGGTGACGAGGCCCAGTGTTTGAACCTGAGGCCCCGTGTGCACGGGCACACCCCCTGCTATAAGGCGGGTAGGCTCCCGCAGAGCCGTGGACGCCTGTAGTCCTGCCTTCCTCTCTGGCGAGAACTTCTGGCAGGCTTTCCCTCCCATTTCTGACAGATCCTCAAAGGGCAAAGTGCCTAACTTTTTAACTTTCTCTCTGCCTGAACTCCGGCCTCTCAACTGAGTATTAAAGATTTATCAAACACAAGAAACAGGGGTGCCTGGGTGGCTCGGTCGGTTGAGTGCCCAACTTTGGCTCAGGACATGATCTCAAGGCTTGTGAGCTTGAGCCCCACGTTGGGCTCTGTGCCGACAGTGCGAAGCCTGATTGGGATTCTCTCTCACTCCCTCTGCTTTCTCTCTCTCTCTCAAAATAAATAAATAAGCTTA